CACAAATGCATCCCACACATCCTCACGCTCAGGATGTGCTCGGCCAGGCTGCTCCTTCTCCTCCACCCCCCTCCCTGCCCCCGCCTGTCACGCTCGCTGGTCGGTATCTTGGTACAGCCAAATGGGCAAGAGGCTTGGGGGTCACTTTCACCCCCTCCTCGCTCCGAATCTGTATTTAGCCAGCAGGACTGTGAATTACGCTGATGCCTTCTCCCCAGATACCCTCGACTCCGTCCTCCCCAATCCTTTTCACTGCTACCGGAGCGAGAGGTGCCTCCACCGTTCACCGGGCCACTTACGTCCAGGGCGCCGCTGGCCGCCCCCCACCCCTCGCCCCGCCACTGCCCTGCCCTCCTGTCTCATCTGACTCTGATCCATTTCTCTGCTGCCGGCAAGGTTCCGTCCTTAATATGTAATTGTGAGCGGGATCGTCTTCAAAACCTCACCACCGCCTAGAGGACAGGTGAACTCGGTGTGGCTCTCAGGCTCTGGGCTGTGAGCCACCTTCCCACATGGGTGCTGCCACCACACCTGGTGAGCCCCAAACCTCCAGAAATGCCAGCAGCTCAGCCACCGTCTGTGCCTGTGCCCGGCACCCTTCTCTGTATACGGGCCCTGCTCTCTTCTCCTCTGGGCACGTTCTCCTCATCCCGCAGGACCAGGCCAACTGTCCACAGCCTTCCCCGGCTCTCCGAGAATAAATTAATCACTTCCCCTTGAGGCCTCATAACACATGGCTCACGCTTCTATTTTAAAAGCAATCATATGTTACAGATAGTTGGTAATCCTGTCTGCTTCCCCTGCAAGACTGCGAACTCTGCGAGGAAAAAGCACGTTTCTTACTCTTCCTGGCACATACTAGCATTCGATACATTTATGCCTTAGGTAGTCTTAGAAACTGACAGAGAATTCACATTGTAAGGTCCTCAGGAGTTTGTCAGAGCACAGGCAACTTTGTATGTTGGATATATTTTACCCAGTAGTCAAGTTAAAAAAAACTCTCTTAGAACTCTTGATCTAACTTACTAAAGATTTAGTCAAGCCATTCACTTTTATCCGCACAGCTGGCTAATCTGTCAAGTGAGTTTTAATTCAGGGGCATATCCAAGAATGTCCAATTCCCTAAGTGTCTATGGTTATTGACAGAGTATTTCCAGGTTTAGAAAATGAAAGCAAACGAGCTTTAGCCCATTCCTCAAAAGGACTCGTCTTTTGTTTTTGTTTTGAGACTATATATGTTACTATAAGGCTTATATTTGTGATTCTATGCTGTTAGAATCAACACCATAATCTGTGCTCTAAAAAAAATAAATTCTGATTTCGGTCTCATCTGCAATTTGTCAAGAAAGACAAGATCCAAAATGCCATACACAAGTATGTTTACATGGAGGGCAAGAAAGGAAATTTTTATTTTTGTTTTTATTTCTTTTTGTACTTGAATGTGCTGACCATGTGCACGAATTCCTTTCATCAAACAGAGAAAGAGCTTATTTGGCTGCTGGGTTAATAGGCTATTTTTCTTTTCTTTTTTTTTTTTTTTATACTTCTCTGTACTAAAATAAAAATCTCATAAATGTTATTGTCTGAAACAACATTTAAAAGATACAATCCATGGGGCACCTGGGTGGCTCAGTTGGTTAAGCGTCCGACTTTGGCTCAGGTCATGATCTCACGGCTCGTTGCGTCGGGCTGCCTGCTTTGGATTCTGTGTCTCCCCCTCTCTCTGCCCCTCTCCTGCTTGTGCTGGCTCTCTGTCTCTCAAAAAATGAATAAATGTTAAAAAAATTTTTTTAAAAATAATAAAATAAAAAATACAATCCAGTGGTCAAACTCCAGGAAACGGTAGATCAGAGCAGTTTCTTAGGTCATGCGGGTTGCTCATGGGAACCTTTTCTTAAAAGGTAAGAGCCACCCTAAGGCTTACAACGCTGGTGGGTCACTTTGTGATAAAGTTGTAGAAATAAAATAGGGACTTGTTTTCCTTTCTTTTTCTTCTTCTTTCTTAAATGAAAATGAGATCCCTGGCTACAGATGAGACACTAGTTACAAGGAAAAAATAATTTAATCAGATTGGACAAATTTTACTTTAACATCATCTTTACCCAGGATCCTGTTTCAAAACCCAAACTGCAAAGGATGGGAAGCAATGATAATCCTGTAGCATACCAGAGAAGCAGTTGATTCTTCCAAAAGCTGAAGCCTTTTTAGCTGGCCAGACCTTAAAGCGTACGTCAGTGACTATCTTTTAAATACTAATTAATGAAATAAAATAAAAAAATTAAATGAAACTTGATCTGGGAGAACACAGTTGAAGTGCCCATGGCACTGGGGACTTTGTGGGGTTTTCACTACATCAGGAAGTAATTACACAACATTTTCCAGAAGTGAAACAGTGAGTCTAACTGGAAAAAAATGTGGAAACATTTAGTTAGAACAGTAGAGCAAGGTATTAAAGACCCTTTTAAGGGGTTAACTCTGAAGGAAAATATGCAAATAATTAGGTCTTTAAATATGTTTTTAATTACAAGTCTAGGATAAAAGTCAGAGGTATAATTTGGCAGTTGTGTGCGTTTCTTGAAAACTCCTTTCTTGCAAAGCGATGATTCTAATGTTCACGTCACCATGAAGACCCAGCCTGACAACCGAGAATACTTCAGAGAAATATTTGCCGGGTTCCCCGATGGCTTCTTCCTTGTATGCCGAGGAAGGCCATGGTCACGTGCTTTCTTCAACATTCACTGGCGAGATTTAACCCACAAACTTGGGTAGCGACACATGGTTTTCATCTTTAGAGTCAAAATTCATTCATGCCAATATCTTTTCCCAGCTCGTATAAATTTCAAGGGTTTCACGAAATCTATTTTACTGACTTCAGTTTGATTCCAGTTTCCAGCTTTACGTGGCTCTGTTTCCAATGTGCGTGTATCTCACTGGGAACGATCCTACGTTAGCTGTCCTACACCATTTCTCCCTTGTGTTTTTGGCACATGCCATTGTACTGAAAATGAACTTTACAAGGACTGAGATGGTTTGAATTGAATAGCGGCGAGTGGGGGAGGAAATGAAAAGCACAACGTACAATAATTTATAAGCTCAACCTTTGACCAGAAAACCTCCAAAAGATGGAAGAGTGAACGTGTATTAATATAATGCCATACTGCAGCTATCCAGCTATCATTCATTCAACAAATATTTATTGAGTGCCTATTAAAACGAAAATCCCAGGGCTCCTGGGGCTGCCCTTCTAGCCGCCTCTGAACCACGCCCTGCCAGACCTGAGGAATGACTCTCTGGGCCTCTGATCCAAGAGTTCCAACAGCAAAGGTGTATAAAGGGCAGCTGTGGCACCAAATCCTCCCCCGAGGAAGCAGGAATAGAAAGTCCCCCCCTGGAGGGAAGCTGACTGGGGATTCTGGGTATTGCAATGGTGACCAGAGCCAGGGCTAGACTAAAAGCGCAAAACATATTCAAGAAGCATGCTGTGGACGGAACGGTGTCCCTGCACTAGCCTTATGCCAAGGCCCTGTTTGGAGGAAGGAAGTAATGGAAATGATTAAGGTTAAATGACGTCTTAAGGGCAGGGCCCTGATCCTACAGGACTAGGGTCCTTATAAGAGACACCAGAGTTCTTGCCCTTGCATGTTCTCTCTCAGACAGAAAGCGTCCATCTGCAAGGCTGGAAGAGAGCTTCCACCAGGAACCAAACTGGCAGGTGCACCTCCAGAACTGTGAGAAAATAAATTTCTGTTTTTTCAGTCACCCTAACTATGGTACTTTTTATGGCAGCCTGAGCTGAAACAGTATCATGTCTCATCAAGAGACCTTCCAGTAACACTGCAGGGGGCCTGAGTTACCCAAAACGCATCCGGGAAGATGCCATCCTACCCAGCAAGCAGCAGACGAATTCTGGACTTGGTTTTTGATGTCTCCATTCGAATACTGCTATAAAAATATGAGATGAGGTCAGCTTAACGCCGTCTCTAACAATGACAATGAAGCCTATCCTGAATTAACCTCTGCTTCAGACACTCCTCCATCAGACAAAAAATATTCATGGCCCTCAGAGCCCTCCCCCTCTTGCTTTAGCTTAAAGGAGAGAAATGAGCATTAAAAGAAATTAAACAAGCATTTTGCTACTCGCCAGGCACAACCAACTGCCTTCTCTGGAATGGAGGGTCTAACGCCAATTTAAGTTAATGAGCTTTTTTTGTGTGTGCTAACAGGTCTCTGCAGAATATCCTAAAATAGTGATATACTGAATCCTATCGTGTCAACTTGGAATAATTTCACTAACCAAAAATACTCCAAGACCCTAGGTATATAAGGCCTCCCTTTCAAAGAGTAACAAAACACTTTTTTAAAAATTGCTTTTCTTGGGGGACCTGGGTGGCTCAGTTGGTTGAGTGTCTGACTCTTGATTTTGGCTCAGGTCAAAATCCCAGGGTCGTGGGATCGAACCCTGCATCGGGCTCATGCTGACTGTGGAGCCTGCTTGGGATTCTTTCCCCAGCCCTTTTCCCCTGTTTGTGCGCGCTCTCGCTCACTCTCTTTCAATTAAAAAAAAAAAAAAAAAAGTCTTAAAAATTGCTTCTCTAAAATTTTCAGACACTAGTTGCCCTTTGTTTCTGTTTTTTTTCATTACTGTTCTGCAGCAAACAGTAGAACACCAAAGTTTAAGGACATTTTACAGAGAAAAAGGCCTTAAAACTGAGTATGTCCTATTCACGATCTCCTCTCTTTGAACAAACTAGAGAGGCACCACCATCTTCTAGAAACAAAACCCAGATGTCCCACTGTGGAACCCAGTTTGAGAACCTCCACTTGAAGTCAAAGGCTTTGCAGGAGTAGTGATACCTAAACCTGTAAAAGGTTTGGGTCAAGGAATCTTCGACAAGTTCCACTCCAACGCCTAAGAGTCACGAGGGTGCTTGGAACAATAGCAACTACTTAGACTCAGAGATAGAAAAGATAACTCGGTGGTTTCCCGAGGCTCCACTTACAATTCGTCCTGAATGTTGTCTGTCAGTTTGAAGAGCTGCTCCTGCCCTTCTGCTTGGCTCTCAGAATAGCGGGGCAGCAGCCCCTGGGGCCCGGTGCAGCAGCGCGGTTTGCGAACCCTCTGGGCTTGAGTCCTGGACGGGTCAAGGGACAGAAAGCAAGGAGGTCAAGCATTAACGGTTGACATGATTTCCCTTCTTCATCTGAAATACAAAGCACCACGTGGCAGAGGCAGAGTCTAACTTTAACGACTGGAACTGAGCGATGGCATCACCTATGAACGCACCCGCTATGAAGACAGTGCTGCTCAGGACTCCAGTTTTGACCAGAGCCTCGTCTCTGCCATTTTCCGTGTGATCACGGACAAGTGAGTGGGCTTCTTGCACCCGGGTTCCAGTTCTCTCTGTAAAATGGGATGAGGACGCCTACCTCACAGGACTGCAGTGAGGATCAAATAAAATCGTGCCGGCCGCGCCTGCGCCCCGCAGGACGTGGGCTATCTACCGGTGACGACTCCTGTTGTTGTTCCTAAGCCCTCTCCTTGGGAAAACCCCACTTTTCTAGGAATCTTCAGGAGAGGCGCCTCTGGACTCGCAAGGGACAAGAACGGTGAGGGCACCGGGGCATCTAGGAAGCAGACACCAGGCTTCTGGGCTTCTTCAAGATGAGCTCAGCTGCCTGGGCCCAGGGCGAGGGACACAGGAATCCTATGAGGGAGCAGAAACGCTCCATGGACCGGTCCCAGGCCACAGTCTGGGACTCTGCAGCGACTCTCACTCATGCCATCCGGCTGTCGGTTGCCCAAAGGAATCTGCTTTGCCATGGCTTTCGGGGTAGGCTGATGTTGTCTTTTTCCACAAACCATATACAGGGTAATTGATAAGTACTTTTCGGTGTTTTCCTAGAAACAGGAGTCCATATTTGTCTTGGAAAGGCTGTGCATATTTCAGATGACTGATAAGAGTGCGCCGGGTCTGTCCTCGGCCTTGTACTCGCTGTACTTTTCATTATTTGTTCCTGGATTCCACTGAAGCAAAACAACCCTCTCTAGACACAGCTAGCGGCAAGCAGGAAGGCTCGCGCACTGACTCACAGCTTCAGAACCATGTACTCACAGTAGTGTAGAAATTTACTGCAAAGGCGAAAAGTGCCCTACTGGGCAAACGGGAGTACTAATACGGACGGGAACAGTCTAAAAACTCAGCACAGGCTACGCGACACTGGGACACCGCAAAGCACTCCTGGACCCAGGTCAACACTCCGCTCACCGGGCCGTGGTGTCTGAAGCCCCATCCATACCTGGTTGATGTTTGCTATGTGCCAGAGAGCCACAAGTCCAGTGGTACATTTTTAGAAGTTCAGCACTAAGGATGCCCGAGATAACACTACATGAGCTCGTCAGGGGTGGTGTAAGAAGCCTGTAAAGAGGTTTCGGTGATCTGTACTGAGGGAAGGGGTGAAACAACTTTAATTTATGTCATGTACTCACATATTCCCACTACACACAGTCTCCGTTTCTGCTTGAAGGTTTCGGCCTTGTAAACGTTGGTCTCAAGATTTAGTTGGCTGTTTACATGCTAACTACCGGCTGAGGGGAGGAAGGGAAGTGTAAGGAGCCACCTGCTGTGGGGTCCCCAGGGGCGAGGTCAGACACCTGCTCCCGTAAGGGTGCTGGCAAACCAGGGCAGGGAGCGTGGCACACTTGCCCAGGCAGCAAAGCCCTGCTCTGTCTGCCTGGCCCCTGAGACAGCTACTGTCAGTCCAAGCCTGCCAAGGGCAGGCTCATCAAGGGTCCTTTTCCCAAGGCAGTCCTCCTGTTCTGTCGCCTGGAAGAGCTTCTGGCTATCGTGACAGAAGCCCCAGAAGCCCTTCCAAGAGGAACAAGACACGATTTTGTTTGTTTGTCTGTATTTTTGAGAGAGCGAGCGAGCGAGCACACAGGCAGGGGAGGGGCAGAGAGAGAGGGAGACACAGAATCGGAAGTAGGCTCCGGGCTCCGAGCTGGCAGCACGGAGCCCGACGTGGGGCTGGACCTCGTGAACCGCGAGACCGTGACCTGAGCCGAAGTCGGACGCTTAACCGACGACTGAGCCAGCCAGGTGGCCCCCGCCCCCAACAGCTTTTCAGTATAAGGTTTCATCCTGATGCCTCTCCCCACATCTTCCCAATCCACTGGGAGGTCCACAGGCTCAACATCCATATGTACTCCCAATCCAACTACCGCTCCATCTCTGTCATGACTAACAAACAATCTCTGGATTTCTAATGGATTATTACAACAGTCTTGTAATTTATTCTATTTCCACCCTTGTCCGTTCTCCTCATGGCAACGAGAATGATACTTTCAAACTACAAGTTAGATTAAGTCGGCCATGTGTCAGCACACATTTGCTTCACATCCCACTTAGATAAAATATCTACTTATTGCTTGGTGCCCCATCTGGAACATAAGTTCCATGACAAGAATTTTGTTTCATTCACTGCTATCCTGGGATCTAGAACAGTACCTGGTTCATGGTAGAAAAGCAGTAAATGTTAGTTGAGTAACTGAACGAATGCATTTGTGGGTGGGTAGGGGGTCAGCATAAGGGCCATTTTAACCATGGAACTCAAAAGTAAAGGTGGCGTACTAACTTTGGTGGAGAGTTTGAAGACCAGAGATTCTGAGCCTTGAAGGTCAACAAAGTTAAGGGAAAATGTGAACCAGCTAGAATCATATCTTCCTGACAGAAAGGTCAAGGATTTGTGTTTATATAGTCCGCTGATCAAAACCAAGGAAGAGACATGAAGGCATGGTCATGAAATTAATGTCTTTGCTAACACATGTAATTTCCTTAAAAGAAACAATCTTTTCATTAGTACCAAGAGTGGGAACAACATGCTATACCGATGAGGAGAAAACTTACTAAGAGTCCTAAATTCCTCCGGTGGGATCCAAAGGAGCCAGGGAAGTCAAGGAAAGGAGGCTTGTTTCTGGACCTGAGCTCCTGGAAATCACATCTTGTAACAACCATGGAATAGTTGAAAATGTAAGTAAGTGTACCCCGTGTTATCACATTAGCAAATAGTTGGCTGGGGCGTACAGTTATTTCTTGACTCCGTGGCATCCCTCAGGATCCTCCCCAAAATTCACTGACCCAACTCACCTCCACTCCCAGCACATCTTTGAACTTGCTAACTATAAGCCCACCCAAACGCTGCAGAACAGGAAGGAAGAGTAGCTCCCTTGTGGGTACACACTGCCTCTGTTAGGTTTCTTATCTTTCTAACAGGCTGCACACTGTCTTCCCATTTCCAAGGTCCTCATTCTGTGACCCACCAACCATCCAGGGGAGGCTGGGTGTAGTGCTCGGACACTGCTGATAGGAGGAGCTCACTGTGGCTTCAAGGGCCACGGACACAGAAGAAAAAAGAGCTCAGCTCTGCCATAGGAGGAAACAGCCATCACTCCAGGGGCTATCAGAAGGGGTGGTTTAGAGATGCTCTTACTAGGAGCACAAAGGCATTAAAGGAATTCTTCCCAGAATCCCCTACTGCTTCATCACTGTTGGTACCTGAAAAACTATTCTTTCTTCTCCAAAATTCGCCTAAATTTTTAACCTCTGAGGTCCTAGTGGGAGGCTGCAGGGGTGGGTGTGTGTGTGTGTGTGTGTGTGTGTGTGTGTACTTAAAGTCAATGTGTGTCCACACATATGGCACCAAACTTAATCAAATAATTATGAACAAAAACCAGTAAGCTGGTGTTTCAAACCTTGTAAGCCAGCAAGAAGTTTAAAGTGCTATTCTCCAGGGCAGGCCACTTTGTGATGGAACTGTCCTCTCCATCTATCGATGATGGCACTGTAAATTCAGGTTACCCTTTGAAAGCAGTATGGCCGTAGGCAAACAGTGATCTTGTCTGTTCACGCTCTGTGATTGGGTAGTACCATGTGTCTACTTTAGATTTACAATTCTTAAGTAACTTTTATGTATTCATGTTCCCTGTGAGCCTGCGAGCACCTGGAGGGAAAGGACTCTAATTCCCTGGTTCTTAAAACTGGGCTTTAGGACTGTGCTCATCAGTATCCTCAGTTCAAGGCCTACTGTCATCACTGGCCTTTTTCTTTGTTTTAAATGGTAGAGTAAAATCTGTGAAACCACCATCCCCAGCACAAAAACGCCATCACTGGCCATAGCCTGTATCTCTCTGTGTGGTCCTCTGCTGTGCCCCCCCCACCCCTCCTCCACCTAAGACAGCTACTATTCTGAATCTTCATTATAGTCTTTGCTTTTCGTTGTTTCAGGCTTTTCAAAAAGGCTGTCATTGCCTTTTTATGTCTTGGGACTTACTTCTCCCTCAAGACATACCTGCTAAGAGTCAGCCATCCTTCTGTGTGCACCTAGAATCCATCTATCGTACCTACTTATTATCATCATCCCATCGCACGGCTATACTATCATCCATCCATTTTCCTGTTGGTGGTACAAGGGTTATTTCCAGGGTTTGCTGCTATGAACATTCCCGGACACGTCTCCTGGGGAATGGAGGCAAGAGCTGCTCTGGATATATACAGATTTAGGAGGCGTTTGCTGGATCACCCGGCATCAGTGTTCGCCTACCAAGACAATTCAAACTGTTTCCAAAGTGGCTGAAACAATTTACACTCCCACCAACGGTGCACTTGAGAGAGCCCTGCAATCTACATCCTTTCAACGCTTGGTCCTGTCTAGAAGAGAGCACTGTCCAGTAACACAGCCACTGATCACGAGTGGCTACCAAGCAACTAGAATGTGGCCAGTGGGACCGAGGAACCGAATGTTAAAACTTTAAAGTGATTTAAATTTAAACTGCGCGTTAAACAGTACTGGTCTAGATCCTCACGTTTCTGCTCCTTGAATGGGTACAAAATGGCATCCCGTGGCCTTCTCCTCGTTCCTGCCTTCTCTTCTCAACCTAAAGGATGATGGCGGCTGTTAAAAGAGAAGGAGGAGGCTAGATGCTGGAGCCGAGGGTCGAGGTCCAAGGCACTCTGGCCCACCACTGCCGGACCAGCCTCTGGCCTCCCCCGGCTGCCTCGTACCCTTTCTCGCGATCACCTTCACTGTCAAGACGTGCTGCGTCTTGGGCAGGGTCCTGGCAATCCTGGGGATAATG